AGGGTAGAGATTCCGCACTAACTCAATCTGAATTGGATTAGTTGAGTGTTAAAATTGACTGATCAGTTAGATTGTTGGTTAAAATTTGTTAATTTCATATAATTTTGTACGAGTCACTGTTATATTTTTATTCCTAACTAATTTGTCAATTTTATTATCTAACCAGCCCAACCTAACTCATTCACCTTATCAAATCACACAGGTTGAGTAAGTGTAAGATATCTAGTTTTTTGGCACACCTTTACACATAACCTCCCTTTCAACAAAAAAAAAAAAAACAACACAACCCAACAAATAATAAATAAAAAAAAAACAACCAAATCAAAATAGCCCAACAAATAATAATAATAATAATAAATAAATAATTCGATACATTCCAGCCTCATCCATTCGAGGCCCCAAACATATCCCTGCAACGAAAGCTTTGTTACATTTTGGCATGCGAAGAAGATATATTTTATTTGTGAAAATTATTTGGCATTTTTGAAATAATGTTTCACATCTATCATTAATTTGATACTAATTATTTTATTTTATTTTTTTGAGCCAGTTACACAAAAGTCTTAATTTATAAATTTACTAGCGTATGCACATACCTGAAGGTACGGTACAATTAATGATGAGATTAAAATATAAATTAAAATTAGAGAGGGATGTATTCAAATTTTTTGTTTTTTTATTTTATTTTCAAAGAGTAGGTAATGAATTCACAGGAAGAAGAAAAATTCCTAAATGAAGACAAGAAACTTAAATGAAACACCAATTTATTAGTAACCCCAATAAATTTCAGGAACCCCCAAAATTAAGAACCTCCATGACTCCCAAAATGATGTAAACTAATCATATATATATATATTTTCTTTCCTTCCTGGACCAATCACAAATTTCCCCCACTTTCTTTCCAACCACACATGACAGAATTTTTTGGGTACAAACTACTGATTTATGGGTTGATAAAAATATGATGAAACTACTGATTTATGGGCTGATTTATGGTGGAATGCTTGACATATTTATGAGATAAAAGTTTAAAAATCTGATGAAATTTTAAATATTTGAACTGATAAAGAAATCTAAAACTAACCAAACACATTGAAAAAACAATGGAAAGTTTAAAAAATCTAAAATCTAAATCTAATTGTATAAGCACGGTGTAATTCATAACCCAACTACATGAATTATTAAATATAGTTGTATAAGCAGTTCCAATAACCCAACTACATGAATTCAAATTAATGGGTGGTAAAATTAGAGATCCATAACACAAAATCAGAAATCCATATTATAAAGGCCCTGTTTGGTAGAGCTGTGGAAAAGTGATTATAGCTTATGTTTAAACAGCTTATAGCTTATAACTATGAACATAAGCTGATTTCTGACTTATAAATTAAGCATCTCCTGCCCCACTCAAAGAATAAGCTGATTTCTGACTTTCAAAAAGTTATAAGCTATAAGCTAAACCAAACACATTAAAATAGCTTAAATTAAGCTGAAAGCTGAAATAAGCAGCTTTTAAGCTACACCAAACAGGGCCAAAGATTCAATAGTATGACTTAATTTAAGTTTCCGAAACCATGTTGAGCAAGATTATAAATCAAAATTTCAAAAACAAAACTGTTCATGTTAAACTACCATAGGAGATAGGAAAGAACAGGGGAAAAGAAAATTGGAAGTACAAAACAATTACCTCTGACAACTCAAATTAATTACAGAAAAATCGGATAGAAAATAAGTTGGCACACAATGTAGATTAAGGTATATAGATAAATACACACACAAATTATATCTATATATATAATAGGGATATGTAAACAGAACAGTTAATTTCATGTGAGAGATACAAACAGTTCACAGAAGCTGTTCACTTATGGATTTCAAGTAATCAAAAAATTGGAGCCCAACCTGAATGACCTGTAAACAAAACCCTAAAATTTTTGATAACCACCAAGAAAATGACATAGGCAAACAACCAGATAGAGAGATACAAACCAGTTCAAAGAAGCTGTTTGATTAGCAAGCCAGTGAGAATCAAAAAATTAAGAGAAGAAAACGAAGGGGAACAGAGAGAGATGGGGAGAGGCAGAAATCTTACCTTGCATAGATTGAAGCCTCAGGTTTGGTGTAGCTTTGAAGTAGCTCTGTTTCACCAAACAATAAACCATGAACCAGAAATGATGATAAACAGAAATGAACCAAAAATAGAAATGATGATAAACCAGAACCATGAACCATCAATAATTGAAGTATTGAATGTGAGAGTATTTAATAAAAAACAGAACCAGATAGAGAGAAAATGGCATAAGCAAACAACCAGATAGAGAGATACAAACAGTTCACAAAACCCTAGTGTATGCCTGTGCCTGAAGGCACGGTGCAAATAATATTTTGTTTGAATAATTTTCATTTATCATTGTCTCTTAAGTTAGGCATATTGAGAAAAAAATTGGATAAATAGCATGACACACAAAAAAGGATCCCCTTTATTATAGACACAACTTCAAAATAAAAGGAACAACAAAATCGTGTTCTCTCTTTGGAGCACTCCATGCCAATACGAAAATGGTGTTCTTGATCAAAATCTAAATAGCAAACACCTCCAAATCTCTACCTCTCAAACCAAATCAAATCAAACCAAACCAAATAACATAGGTTACACCATTTTGATTTCCCAAGGAAACTAAACCCTCAATTTTGCCAATAGCCTCACTCAAAAACTTCATAGTAAAACAATCAAATTCCAACCCCAAAATAGAACATCTCACAGCACCAACACTTCAAACATTCCCAAAAAAAAAAAAAACAAATAGAAACAGGAAATTCATACACATAGCTATTGCAGAAATCTAGGAAATGAGAGCCAAAAACAAATAGAGATAGAGAGAAAGATAGAGAAAGAGAAATCAAATTACCAGGTGCTGGGGTTAACGGTAGCGAAATGGTCAGTGCGAGTTCGAAGGAAGGGTGGGTGTATTGGCCACCAAATTCTAATAAAAACAATATTGGCCACCAAATTGTCATAAAAACAGGAAATTGAACCCCAAATTACACTAATTGGAAGGCCTAATAAACCCAATTTTAAACCCAGATGATGAAACTAAAAATATATCAATGTATTCATGAATGTATGTATTAATGAAATAAAGAAAAACAGAGAGAGAAGGGAAAAAAAATATCAAATAAACAACCCTAAAAATGTATGTATTCATGAAATGAAGGAGAAGAACAAAGAAGGAAGGGAAAAAAAACATAAAATGTACATAATCTTAAAGCAAATGTAAAATAAAGAACTGCAACAAACCCAGAATTAGGGTAAAATACCTCTATTGTTAAAGACGACAGTGGGGTTTGAATTGCAGCAAGCCACATTGCAACAAGGGAAATTAGCCAAAAACAAAAACAGAGAGAGAAGGGAAGAGAAAAGACAGAATAATCTGAAATCATGCTAAAAAGCTCTCTTCCCAAACATGGCCAAATTACTTATGCAACAACCAAACCAAACTGATATGCCAAATCCAAACAACCAAACCAAACCAAAACATGTAAATTCTAAAAGCAAACTTCAAAATTCAATATCAAAACATTCACATCACTATTTTTGTGTTTTACTTTTTTAAAAATCAAATCAATAAACAATCATTCAGACAATTAATAAATAGAACTTTAATATACAATTGTGAGGTTAGATTTAACCTGTAAGTTTGTGTTGGCCACCAAATTCTAATAAAAATAGGAAGTCAAACCCCAAATTACACAGATTGGAAGGACCAATAGACCCAATTTTAAGCCCAGATGATGAAACTAAAAAT